CCCAAAAATGATCCCAAATCCCCCCCAAAATAATTCCCAATTTTTTATTTTTTTTTATTTTTGTCCCCCCCCCAGCCCCCCGAGCGGGCCTGGTCGGTGTCGGGGTCCCCCCCGAGCCCCCCCCCGGTTTTGGGGGCGATTTTGGGGCTGGAGGGGAACGGGAGCTGCTGTGACTGCAGAGAGCCCTGCCCCGAATGGGCCAGCGTCAACCTGGGCATCACCCTGTGCATCGAGTGCTCGGGGATCCACAGGTGAGACCCCCAAAAAACCCGGGGGGCACCCCAAAAAAATCCCGAACCCGAAATCCCAAAAAAAACCCCAAAAAAATCCCATTAAAATCAAAAAAATCCCATTAAAATCGCATTAAAATTGGATTATTGGGCACCGAAATGAACCTAAAATCTCTGCCCTGTGCATCCAGTGCTCGGGGATCCACAAGTGAGACCCCCAAAAAACCCGGGGGGCACCCCAAAAAAATCCCGAACCCGAAATCCCAAAAAAAAACCCCAAAAAAATCCCATTAATATAAAAAAAATCGCATTAAAATTGGAATATTGGGCACCGAAATCCCCCCGAAATCTCCTCCCTGTGCTCGGGGATCCACAGGTGAGACCCCCAAAAACTGCCCTGAACCCCAAAAAAATCCTAAATATGGAAATCCCCCCCAAAAAAACCCCCCAAAAAAATCCCATTAATATAAAAAAAATCCCATTAAAATCGCATAAAAATTCCATTATTGGGCACCGAAATGAACCTAAAATCTCTGCCCTGTGCATCCAGTGCTCGGGGATCCACAGGTGAGACCCCCAAAAAACCCGGGGGGCACCCCAAAAAAATCCTGAACCCGAAATCCCAAAAAAAAACCCAAAAAAAATCCCATTAAAATAAAAAAAATCGCATTAAAATTGGAATATTGGGCACCGAAATCCCCCCGAAATCTCCTCCCTGTGCTCGGGGATCCCCCCAAAAACTGCCCTGAACCCCAAAATTCCCAAAAATTCCCTCAAAAATCCCATAAAAATTGGATTATTGGGGACCAAAATGAACCCAAAATCTCCTCCCTGTGCTCGGGGATCCCCCCAAAAACTGCCCTGAACCCCCCAAAAAAAATCCCTGGTAAA